GTGTCAAAAAAAATAATTCTCGGTAACACAAGATTAGACGAGGTAGTCCATGATTTTGTCGCGTGGAATTGTGCTCGTCAACGTTTAACGGTCGAAAAACACCCGTCCTTGGGGGCATTTGATGCGCTGAAGCCACTGTAGTGTGATGGGTCTTGCGTCAGGATGGTGGCATGAGCTTTGCGAACAAATTCATGCTTTTGAGGCTCAACCGATGCAGACGACCATCAACGATACAGCGGTTCTGGATCGGTCATTTACCGCTAATGATAACGTGCCGATTGGGCACAATGTCGCTCAACCAAGGTAATTTTAAGAGAATTTTATGGGTTTGGTTTTGATTTAGTTATCCCCCGGATCAACTTAGTCTCCGAAATACATCCTCATATGTTTATTTTTTTGCAGTAAACTCCAGCACAAGACGTAAGTTCAGTTCAACAAGTAGCTCTGAATCTCGTAGTGCTTGTGATGTTCCGTGATGCCTAGTTTTTTTCCCCTCACTCTTGCATGCTGCGACTGCTAAGAATTTGTGCGCAAGCACGCAGCAAACCCCCCGAGAAAGAATATTTGTAAACATCCCGTTGGATGTTTAGAATTTGTTCATGCATTACATCTTTCTTCTCTCGCTTATTAGTTGACCACCTGTGAAAAAGCGAAGATATTCGCTGCACCGCTTGCGCACGTAATCTATACCCTTCGTAGTCGTAGTATAGAATTGCACCGGGGATTAGAGGTGATAGGGACTCAATTTATTTCTCTGCGTAGTTGGTATTGGTGTGTAAAAGCTTATAATTAGTCACTTTTATTTAGTAGTTCCACTTTAGTCCTCCTAACTCTTCAGCTAGGATATCAAAGCTTCTGGTGAAAATGCCGTTGTCACTGTTTGGAAGTGTAAAAAGAGAAAGCTTAGAAGTATTACTTTATCAGGTAATAAAGTCCGCTCAAGGGCGGGCGCTCAATCCCATGCTCGCTTACCAAGCAGCCTGCAAAAAAAGTGAATGTTTTTAAACGATATAAGCACGCTAATTTCTACTGCGTAACTGCTGGCTCTGTGGCTGAAGAGCCTTTCACATCAAGTCAAGCGTTTATCTTGTGAATGACTATACTATTATAAAAAATCTAGGATTTTTTAAAATGAATTAAAGAAAGTATAGGGCACATATTGCCACTTTCTGAAAATAGTAATCTACCCGGTGAAGCGGCGCGGTCATCGCTTACACGAAATCTCCTATGCTCTTTTAGAATGAAACTATTCATAAATTTTCAAGCTCGCAAATGCACATATAGGATAACCAGTGACAACAGCATTTT